CAGTTGAGGCCTCTTGCCAAGAACTGACGCTTCAGTTCAACTTCAATTTAAGTTAGTATTGAACTGGAAATAATTGAACTGAACTGAAGTATATATATACTCTAGTATATTCATATATATAATAGCTATGGGTTATATAATAGGTAGATTAAGTAGCCTAGGGTGTTAGGCATTAAGGCATGTATACCGGAGAAATGATATTCCGAGCCGAGCTTATACCGCCGAGCTTATACCCGCCGAGCTTATACTAGAAACTTCCGCCGTCTATTAATTAGTTACTTGATAGATATAGACGTTTTAGACCGACTAAGTACTTAAAATATACCTAAGTATACGTCTAGGTGTACGAAGAGGTATTCGAAAACCATCCACACAGCCTTAAATATACTATTTTTAAGTATATTTACTCGACTACCTACTAAACTTCAGTTCAACTCAGTCAACTTCAATTCTACTACTAGAACTGACAGTCCAGTTCAAATATACAGTAGGGTAAACTGAAGTACTTCAGTTCAACTTCAAACATAGGCACAGATTTGAACTGATTGTTTGATAGGAAGTCTGGAACTGTGTGCCGATTCCGCGCCAGAAAATTGCTGCTACCGAAGCACCTGGCGTGACGAGATCATGTCATCTCGAACTATAGACGGCTAGCCGAGATACACTATTCCGCTTCTGGTGCGACAGGATCGTACCGGAAGCAGAATAGTGGAATCTGCAGTTTGCCATGTCAGTTGAACTGTCCAGAGCTATCACCACACTCTCTCCCCACTATGGCGATTCAGGAGAGCTTTGTGTTAGTTCAACTAGAATTATTTAGCCGTATGGGACAGCATTGGCAGGACTGCCATGATTTCAATATTCCTCTAAGAGCCTCGCAATGTGTAGAATCCACGGCAAATGCTTCGATACGTACTGCGATACTGGCACCGCAGTCAGAGACTGAGTCTACCGAGTTGCAGCCGCCTTCACAACAAAATTGATAGAACCGCTGATTTATGGAAAGTGGGATTCGCACTACACCATCCATATATAGCTTTGATAATCCTTTTCGACCCTCATGTTAGTCGGAGGGAGCATGACCGCGCCTCCGAAGCAGCACATGTATGAATATACAGCGGGAAGTCCGCCCCTGCCAGTGCCATATAACAGTGATTATTCTTATAATGCTGTTTATTATGTATGCAACTGCCTTCGCGCTATCCGTATTACGGATGAATAGAGAGCGTTGTTGATACAGCCATGAAACTCGTACATGATGGATGCCCGCGGCCGCGTAAGACTCGAGGACATCGCCGCCTACCTGATGATGATATTACGCCTCTCCTTCCCTGTCTCAGCAAGGCGAGTTTTGTGACGCGGAGTTGGCACATAGCTCTCAAGTAATGCACTAAAGCGGGGGGAGGGGGGGGGCGGCACCGGTAGATGTGGGATCAGCTCGGGGGAGGGGGTTGGGGACAAACCCCACGATCACCGACAGAGTGATAGGTGGCTGCCGGGGCAAGGTCATATAGCCAACGAGATATAGGGGGCTCCCGACGACTCGAAAAGTCCAAGGATCTTGTGTGCCGCACCCCAGAGCCGGTGCGGTAGTCCATGTGAGTACAGGCTTGCTCAGAAGATGAACGCTATGTCGTGGGGAAGTCCGAAACCAAGCCATGGATCAGTACGTCTGTGACCACTGCTGAAAGAGCGACAGAGATCTAGGACATTAGGATATATATGTGTCCCACAGTCCTTGACCAGTCAGTCACCGCTGCTCGTTTGCCTCATGCTATCTTACCGGTTACCTGCTGCCTACCTCTTTTTAGTATATCATAATATGGTCCTGCAGTCTCTCCGCGTTTTCTCTCAGGCGGACGTACTCCGATCAGGAGGCGAAGCGAACGCGTCGAAGGACGATAGTATGTGAAGTACCCTTTATTGCTCTAGATTGGTGGAAGACCAACTTCCCTCTCAGATATCGCGACATGTCTACTCATGATTGTTTGGACCTTACTCCCGTGCACCAGGCCGCGGAAACCGACCAAGATCGACAACCACGAAGACAATTCAAAGGTCGACAGAATGCAAACAGCCGAAACCGACCTTCACGGTCATACCCCCGGAGTTCCTGAGGACAAAAGCGTTTCAGATGCTGTACAACAGCTTGCAGCCACAGAAACACAGAAGCGCCATCTTGGAAATCCTCAGCTAAGAGTCTTCTCGCCGTCTGCTGCGCTGCCAATCTTTGCTGCCACTACCAGCGTGCAGATTCCTGGCTGCACCCAGCCTGTATATTCGGCAGCGGAAGGAATACGTTTCGCTGGCACCCCTCCTCCGACCCCACCCGGCTCACCTGACACCGAGCCGCTCAAGAGCCTCTCTTCTGATGACGATTGGCCCTTAAAGGCGAGTTTCGAAGATTTTCAATCATCGATCGTGAGCAATCCTGTCGAGAACACTATTAGAGATTCTATACTGAAGCGCGAATCTATGTGCATCGTACATGGTCCGACCGTTTGTCCTGAAGATTGCTAATATGTGCGCCCTGAATCAGCCGTGCGACCTTTGGAACAATCGGCACTGGCGAGCTCCCGCCCCGGCCCAAACTCTTAAGAAGCTGTACTTCCAAGGAGACATCACATGGGAACTGCTGTGAAGATAGGAAGGATGGTAATGTAGGCCAAATCCACATGTTGCGAGGAGCTATATAACCAAGAGGAAGTTAATATGATGATGCGTAGTCTCCCAGCGCTAAGAGATGATCCTGGTAGCTGCCAAAACCAATGCTACAGATGTCTAAGTAAAGCCCTTGGCCATATTCGATCACGAAAGAAGGACATGTACACGACGATAGTAGGCACAGTCTAAGATAGGACCTGCAACTCATTCTAGATGACAGGGCGGCTTTCTATGGAGTGACAGGATGCCAGTGTCGACCAGCAATGCAAGAATCCGACCGACTGAGGAAAGCCGTTCCGTTCGTGATTGCTAACGAGGTCACCTACTCTAAGCTTTAGTTAAGATATTCGACTTTAGAAGGCTTTATTTTAGGTGAACATTTAGCTCTGTAACCTCTCGAGATAAACTTATATACTATCTGTCCTTTCGTGGCTTCTAATCTATACTCTTAAGCGTCGTCTTCGCTAGCAGATCCTTTGACCGAAAAAGATCCAGGAGAGACAATCCGGCGGCGCTGATTAACTTTCAATTGGAGCAACGACTCAACTGGCTCTAGCTCGTCTCCCGTCGTTATCCATTCTAGGTTCTAGCTTGTTAGATCCTAGAGTAAATAGGAACTCAAACTCCTACCAAGTAGTTAGTATATTGCTTTCATGCTGCCCAATCGTGGATTTACACGCAGTGAAAATATCAACTCCTATATAAGTGGGTCCATGGAGGAGATAGACACACTCATTTCTTAGACGAACCTGTGAAGTGTCAAGAATATTGCTTATCTGTTTGGTACTTTTGATCATAAATAGCGAGGGCAGCACTTTACGGTTCTTTCTCCAAAGGCGTACGTACCATGGCCATAATTGAAAATTTGACGGGCATAGCTGAACACTCGCATTCGTTTGGAGATGCGGGCCATGGTCAAGTTCGACGGTATTTGAGCATGAGAAACAATACAACGTCATCACCGTAGATGACTGGACAGATATCACCATGTACCTGCTTGCTGACGGACATCAGTTTACTTGTAGGTCCAAGTCCCCTTTGCCATCAGACGGCCTGACGCCCCTGAGACCGTACTGTCG